TGACAGCGGGACCTACAAGCTGCCGAATACGCCTCTCGTTTCCCAGAAAGCGTTGGCAACTTTGTCCTCGACGCCGTTCTCTCGCACGCAACGGTATGTTCGAGCTCCATCTACATGCCTTGTGCTGATACAACCAATCATTCAGGTCGATCAAATCGCCGTCGCTGATCAGATCACGGCGGTCAACCGTCTTGTTCTTCGCGCGGACGATTTCTGCCAATCCGATCCGTCTTGCCCTTTCAAGGATCAGGGCAACGGCAGCGTCCCCGAGGTATGTAGTTGATGGAGTGCAACCATGATGATGTTACTCCGCCGAAGCTGAGCGCAAACTCCATAGGCATTCACCAAGGTCATCCAGATGGCCGAGAACGGTTCGTTCAGCGATCTCAACGTCACCGCGACGCTGGCCAAGTTCGCGTTGTACTACACGGTCAACTCTTCTCCGGACTTCCCCAAGTTCAACCTGGCGCTCTCGCAAGCATTGAACGGCAACGCGACGCTTCTGGTACCTGATCCGGTGATCATGCTGGAGATTGTGAACGTGTTACCGATCATCTGCGCGGACGAGGGTGAGGATATCTCAACCGACCATGGTTGGCTGGATCACTCACCAGATGGATCGCATCCGCAGCTGGCGACGACAATACCGTGGACGGCCTGAGGAAGTTGAACCAGAGCGCTTCTGCGGTATGCATCATTGTCTCCTCCGTGACCTGTTGAGCCATCGCTGAACGCAGTGTCAGGTCGACACGCTCGGTTTCCAATACTCGCAGTTCTGGCAGCTACGCGTGAGTACAGTGCTTGTTCTCAATGGACTGGTTCTCGCTCACCAGTTTTGTTTTTCTCTAGCTTATGTGCACAGCCTGGCCGTTCCCCGCTAGACCAAAGAAGACCCTCAAAGTCCAGACTCCCATGTTGTTCGTCACCGCGGATTACGATCTGAAGTAAGCGAAAGCCATATCGAAGAATACTTGCAATGTTGAATGACACGCGATGCCTCAGCACACCTACGGAGCTCGCAACCCTTCAGTGGCAGGATCAATCCCCGCAATCGACTCTCGTAGTCCGTCACGGAGACGATCACGGCACGACAATGCGTGAGTTGAATATTACCACCTTGTTTACCCAGGATTAGGGCTCATCGCTTGATACGTAGTTGTGGGGCAGCCCGCTAGCCAGGACGCGATTACCTTCCTCGCAACGGGCACAATCCCCCAGCCGACAGAGCAGCAACTCGTCAGCGTTTACGCTCCTGGCTCGCAGCGTCCGCCGGTCACCCCCCCTTATGTCGCACCGATCGGGAAGGATGCCGGAGACTTATCGATAGTAGAGTCCATATCTTTTTGAAAAATTGGGGTTTTGTTTCTTCAAATACGAGCTGCGCTGGTGCGGCTGGGACGGTCTGTGTGATCGCCAAGGTGGTACATTTCGAATCCGCTTTCATGGTATATAACACAAGTCATGCTTCAAGAGCAGAGTGCTTCCAGTCAGCATTGACTATGCCTACTAAGTATCAGTGGCTGCCACTGCGCACGGAGCGTCAGCGCGCTGCGACTCATTCATAACGGTCTGCGAATCCGATATGTTGCCGTTGCTTGGCACGGAGGCAACGAGAAGACTAGGGCCTAGTCAGGAACAAAAGCAAGCTGGTGGATAACTGCCTGCGATGCGATGACAGCGCGAGACATATGCTATAACGTATCACATTCCCGATTGTCCATGCAGAGCTGCGGTTCACTGGAAATTTCATCGAGCGGGAGGTGATGAATGGATGAGGCATGCGTCGACTGGTACGAGGGTAACGACGCCGAAGGCAAGGTCCTGAGAAGAGCAATATCTATCAGTTAGGCACACATAGTCTTTTGACTTACGGTATATATAATGCCGTAGAGCGTACCTCGGAATATGAACACCTCCCCCAGAACAGCGACCACCTGATTGCGAGAAGTCACCCAGTATTGCGCCATGAATGAACTTCGCAAGGACGCGTCATTCGGCTGCTGTCGTTCGCCGTCGACAGTGGAAGCACAGTAAGGATCTGTTGTTGACGTCGAGATCTATCTACACGAGATTTGCGTCGTATGAGCTCCAAGTGCAAGAAAGTGACTTCCCGTCCGCATGCGAGCAAGATTGTCATTTCGTTCCGGCGAACGACATTCCGACTCAACCTCATGTTCTCCGATTAGGAGGGAGCATACCTGCTTACGCTCACTACGCCCTTGGGGGTTCATGTTTTCGGTCTGTGTGCACAATAGCGTAACAAACAATCCACTGTCACCAAGTCTCTCCGATGCATGGGTCTAGCGTCGGAAATATCTGATCTTCGCAACCTAACTGCCTGAAAGCAGTCATCCGACGTCGGTGAATTCAAGAGAGTTCCACGTGAATCGTGTTCCATCGTGTCCCGTCAACCTCCGTCAACCCATTCGGGAGCACTCCGCGGGTCCACCTGTTTGACGGCGGCAATAGTGCAAGTGAGATTGTCGGTGATGGGCCGTCACATCTGAGCAAGTGCCTCGCAATGCAGCACAAGACGCAGTATCACGCGTAGAGAGCAGTTATGACGGTCCCTGACATGAGGGCGAGGTTCACCCGAGGAATAGGTCGTCGACCTCCACGTGAGCCCCCTTTGGGCGGAGAGCTCAGCCACCGTTGACTTGGGTCTCTTCGCCGACGTCGTAACGGACATTTTGCTGGCTCTCGTCCTTTCCTCGGAAACAACACACATCGGCGCCAAGACAAAAGGCCCAAAATTGGCTATGTCTTCGGTCAGACTTTGATCTACAGGCTTTTTGGCTGGCAGAAGCGCGGGGACCAGCTTGAATTACCACTGCCTTGCAATTCACGATTCCGCTCTGGGGCAGGTCAACAAACGAGCTGGTCGGTGCCTTCATGTCTGGAGTCGTATGGCCTGGTTGAACTGTCGGAAAATCTATTCACCAGCGATTTTCACGCGTCTTCAACGAATCTCCACCGAGCCTCCAGCAGAAGACCTGCATCTCCTCTGCGTTCCGTAAAAGGGCCCGATTTTCGTCCTTCGATCAATGGACGATATGTTCCGATAATTACCCCCCTAAGTCCACCTTTGATTGAACACCCCCACCATGTTCCGCACCACCCGAAGGAAGCTCCCCGAGGGGTACTGACCAGCAGTTTCCCCGCGTCGCATTTCGTTGTTGGGCCCCATCAAGCCTACCTCTGAATCGTATATATAGGGAGGAGTCTTGGTCTCTTTCTCTTCACCGGTCTACCTCCCGTCGTCGATCAGCCATGTTCCGCGCAGCAGCCCTCGTCTCCTTCGTATTCCTCGCCACCGCGTCTGCCCAGCAGGTCGGTACCTCCGCCGCGGAGACCCACCCGGCCCTTTCCTACCAGACCTGCACCTCGTCCGGCTGCACCAGCGTCGCCGGTAGCGTCACTCTCGACTCCAACTGGCGCTGGGTCCACAACGTCGGCGGCTACACCAACTGCTACACCGGTATGTCCATCCTCCCCTCATCGCCGCTCTCACTCAATGTCCTCACGCTTCTTCGTAGGAAACCAGTGGGATGCCACCCTCTGCCCGGACCCGGCCACCTGCGCGAAGAACTGTGCTCTCGACGGCGCCGACTACTCCGGCACCTACGGTATCACCTCCTCCGGCTCCGCCCTCACCCTCGCCTTCAAGACCGGCAGCAACGTCGGTTCCCGCGTCTACCTCATGAAGGACGACAGCACCTACGAGACCTTCAACCTCCTCAACAAGGAGTTCACCATGGACGTCGACGTCTCCAAGCTCCCCTGCGGTCTCAACGGCGCCGTCTACTTCTCGGCCATGAGCGCGAACGGCGACGCGTCCTCGACCAACGCCGCCGGCGCCAAGTACGGCACCGGCTACTGCGACTCTCAGTGCCCTCACGACCTCAAGTTTATCCAGGGCCAGGTGAGAACGATGTACCTCCTTGCTTGCCGTTCATGACTAACGTTCTCTTGCTCATAGGCCAACATCATCGGCTGGAACGGTACCTCCGCCAACTCGGGCACGGGGTCCATCGGCGCCTGCTGCTCCGAGATGGACATCTGGGAGGCCAACTCCATCTCCGAGGCGGTCACGCCCCATCCCTGCACGGGCACGGGCATCACCGCCTGCACGGGCTCGACCTGCACCTCGACCTGCGACCAGGCCGGATGCGACTTCAACTCGTACCGGATGGGCAATACCACGTTCTACGGCCCGGGCATGACGGTCGACACGACCAAGCCGATCACGGTGGTGACCCAGTTCCTGACGTCGGACAACACCACGACGGGGTCGCTTTCGGAGATCCGGCGGTTTTACGTCCAGAACGGGGTGGTGATTCCCAACTCGCAGTCGACGATCGCGGGCGTGAGCGGCAACTCGATCACGGACAGCTGGTGCGCTGCACAGAAGACGGCGTTCGGGGACACGAACACGTTCCAGTCGCTCGGTGGGTTGAAGCAGCTGGGCGCGGCGTTCGCAAAGGGTATGGTGCTGGTCCTGTCGATCTGGGACGACTACGCGGTGAACATGCTCTGGCTGGACTCGGACTACCCGACGAACAAGGACGCGTCTGCGCCCGGTGTCAAGCGCGGGACTTGCGCGACGACGTCCGGTGTCCCCGCGGACGTTGAAGCGAACGGCGGGTCGATCTCGGTGACTTACTCGAACATCAAGGTCGGCGACATCGGGACGACGTTCAAGGCTGGCCGTACGTTTCCCTCCTCTCCCCGTCGCTTCTACTCGTTAACATGCGCTTTCGTTCCTCAGAGTCCTCCGGCAGCGGATCTTCTGGCTCTAGCGGGTCCAGCACCTCGACCGCTTCCGGCTCCGGTTCTACCGGCTCGTCCGGCTCGGTGGCCAAGTACGGACAGTGCGGCGGCACCGGTTACACCGGCGCGACGACCTGCGCGTCTGGCTCGACCTGCACCGTCCTCAACCCCTGTGAGTTTTCCCCCCTTTCGCCTGAGTCGAGCAGGAAACTGACAATCCTCCACAGACTACTCGCAATGCCTCTGAGTTCAGCGACCTTTGGTCCCTCGCTTGTAGATGAGGATTAGAGCGTAGCTTCATGGTCGCCAAAAGGCTGCTGTGCTAGGAGGATCGGATGTTCGTATTGTACCAGTAAGAAGGATCTTGGATACCACGCATGCAATCGAATACGGTCTATCGTTACGGTGTCCGCGTTCTCGAGCCCAGATATCTTGCGCGGTCACCATTATATGAGTAAGGCGGTGTCTTGTCTTCCGTGATGGACCGAAACGTTGCAATGTCCATAACAGTACATGGTCAAATACGACATTCAATGGGTGACAATTCCTAAGGGTCTGTAAGGCCGAATAGAATAGATCTTGCTCAAAATTCCACTAAGCGAGCCATGCCGATCCTTCGGCATTGTCGAGTCAAGTTGCCGGAATATAAGGGGCGTTGTACAGACCTTTCATCTATGTTTTCACTCTGTCGCCGCTCGCGTGATGATTCAAAGAAGGGAACGCGTGCCTAAAATGTGGTCGTGATTATTGAGCTCCAATATACAGGACTTAAAGGATGCTGTGATCCCCCCTCGGCGCTAATCGCGATACAATAAGCAACAACACAACGTCAAGGCGCATCATGTCTCCTTCACCCGCGCCCATACTCAACTACATGGACGATGGTTCCGCTGCTCACACCGCGGCTCTGCAGGAGAAGATAGACAAGTTGGATTGTGTGAGTGGCGGTCGGCTGGAGCGCACTGGAGAAAAACCGGAGACTCAGAGTGCGATCTAGGGCCTCGACTCAACACCTCGCACTGACGGCAGATTTCGAACGAGTCTGCGCACGCTCAGCGGGCTGTGTAGCAAGAGCGGGCTCCTACCCACAAGATGCAGGTTATCGGGGCCTGTGAATGTTGGGGATGATCCTCCTTGCTATGGGGGATCCGCGAATGTGTACCGAGGGACCTACAACGGTATCTCCGTCGCGCGGAAGGTCATTCGGCTGCACGCCAGAGATCAGAAAACGTATATGAAGGTGTGTTCCTCATTGCGCCTCGGAGAAAAAAATCGTAGGTTCATACCGATGGCTAGATGTTCTGCAGGGAAGCGGTCTTGTGGAAGCGGCTGGATCATCCCAATATCGTCCCCTTCATCGGCGTTGAACCTGGAAACTATGCATGCATCGTGTCGGAATGGATGGACAATGGCGATGTTCTGTCGTATCTCGAATACCATCCAAGCGCCGATCGCGTGAGACTGGTGAACATTGTGTATTGCACTGCACTTCGCCAAACTCATGAAGCTACGGTCAGATCACGGATATCGCCCATGGCCTTCATTACATGCATTCAAACGGTCTTGTACATGGTGATCTCCATAGCGTGAGTACTGACTTCTTCACAGTCAGCTACGACTCAATTATCGTCGGAATCCAGCGCAACGTCCTTGTGGACAAAGTCGGGCGTGCACGTCTTGTCGACTTTCTTTTATCGACGACCCTTGGTACCGACTCTTTGGCAACACCTACAGAATCTTCTTCACGCTGGGTCTCGGTGTTATACAAGGCCCCCGAGTTGTTGGATTGGGCGATGAATCCGACCCGTACTTCGGAGTCTGACGTGATGAATCCGACCCGTACTTCGGAGTCTGACGTTTATGCATTTGGTATGACCACATGGGAGGTAGGTATAGTCTGATATTGCTAAATCACTTAAGCTAAACCAGTCTACAGATCTTTGATGGTAGACGCCCGTTCTACAATATCGATCACGTATTCGTAACCGCTCTCAAAGTTCTTGATGGTTCACGGCCTACGCGCCCTTCGCACGCACAAGACCTAGGTCTGGATGATTTCGTATGGAGGACTGCCGTCACCTGGTGCTGGGAAGCAGACCCGTCTGAGCGACCTCAAATCTCGGAAGTATTCGAGAATCTCGTGACATATCAAGCTGCACGAGAGCTTGCTCCAAAGCTGCTGAATGAAGGTCTCTCGAAGGACGATTGCCAAGTGCTCGATGATCTGCTGTCCACAGGTCTGTCGTGTTGCTACAATTCACCCCAAGCTCTGTACTAAACCGATACAGAGATCGGCAGAAATGTGTTCTGCAATATTGCTGACCCAACAGAGCTTCTCGGCTCTCTCAATATGATGCTAGATGGACTGAAAGATTCGAACTTGCCAGAGACGCGTGCGACCGATATCATCATGGTTCTCGGTGTATATTCTCCGTTGCCACCGGGTCTGAATCTATATTCCAGACGTGTTGTGGAGAGACTGCTGCTGCATGTTGACCAGAGGCGACCCGGGAGTCGCCGGGCAATGGATTGGTTGACGCAGACCTTTACCCAACGTCACCTCGGTACGCAATACATTGATGCTTTGTTCATGTTTAGCTTTCAAACCTCTGATCCTGTCAACAGAGATGACGCTGCGGTCCACCATGCAAGGCCATACACATACCGTGTACTCTGTTTCGCTCTCCCCGGATGGCTCCCAAATTGCCTCGGGCTCTGGGGATAGCACGATCCGAATATGGAATGCGGACACCGGAAAGGAAGATTGCGAGCCTTTACGAGGGCACACGAACGACGTCTCTTCGGTGGCGTTTTCCCCCGATGGGAAGCGCCTGACCTCGGCCTCACATGACTTCACCGTGCGACTATGGGACGTGAAGACGGGGCAGCAGGTTGGGGAGCCGCTCGAAGGGCATACGCGCGAGGTTAAGTGTGTTGCATTCTCGCCCAAAGGCGACCGCATCGTCTCGGGCTCAACTGACAAGACGCTCCGACTCTGGGACGCGCAGACGGGACAGGCCGTCGGCGAGCCTTTACACGGTCACTCCGACTGGGTTCTTAGCGTCGCATTCTCACCGGACGGTAAATACATCATCTCTGGATCCGACGACGGAACCATTCGATTCTGGGACGCCAACGCGGCCAAGCCCGTCGGGGACCCGTTGCGTGGCCACAATGACGCGGTTTGGCCGGTCGCGTATTCCCCCTGTGGCGCGCACATCGTCTCAGGGTCCTACGACACCACGATCCGGATCTGGGACGCCAATACAAGACAGACAGTACTGGGCCCATTGAGAGGGCACAAAGACACGGTCCGCTCCGTGTCATTCTCTCCGGATGGCCAGTATATCGTCTCTGGCTCCGACGACAGCACGATCCGGATATGGAACGCGAAGACGGGACAGACCGTAGCGGGGCCTTGGGAAGGCCGAGGTGGAGGTGTGATTTGGTCCGTTGCCTTCTCGCCTGATGGCAAGCGCGTCGTCTCAGGTGGTAGTGACAAAACCGTGAAAATATGGAATGCGGATTTGGATTAGAGCGATCTGGAAGTTTGGGATGTAATTGTTCGTTAGGTGCGTACCTGCATTCGCCGTCCACGACGCTCTCTGATGAACCAGTGGTGTTTGACAGTGTTTATTTGCGCTTGCTGGCTGGATGTGGGTGAAATGGTCATCCTTCGAATCGACCATCCTTCCATACAATGATACGTGACGCCGTCTGGTACATGGCCCGCAGCTGTAACAGCGCCCACAGGACGATCCCCGCGCGTCATCAACCCTGGGCACTGTATGTGCCATGCCTCGGTCTCCGCGTATGTAACGGGAGAGACCAAGGACGGGGTGGAAACGTATGGGCATCGCTTGGCACAATCGGAGCTATCAAGTGCTTGCATGAGGAACAAGCTATATACGATCTACTTGCACTGAGATGCGAGGAGGGCTTCCTCCGTTACTTTCTTCGATTGCTCCGCCAGGGATGATATAGAGCTGTCTGAGTCGGCGACTACTAAAGAAAGTACACGCAGCATCTGTATCTGCTCTACAGAGGTACATGTTTTTTTTTTTCACTTCCAACAACCGATTCGCGAGACAAAGAATGCACGCAAATCCATCGGCCGCCGCCGGCTTCTCACGCAGCTTGCCCCGCCTTCCGCGCCTCGAAGAAGCGCGTGATGTCTGCCTCGCTCACGACCGTGCCCGCCTGCGCAAATGGGCGAAGGTACGCCTTGAGTTCGTCCCTAGATCATGAAACACGCACACGTTAGGGCACAGGAAAAAACAAAAAAAGGACCCGTTGTCACGAGAGGGCCAAAAAAAAACGCACCGCATGTTGTTGTACGCCCTGATCCCGTCCAGCGCCCTGTCGCGCGGTAACCTCGCGAGCGCGCGCATCCCGAGCTCCTCGAGCGAGAGGCCTTGCACGGGGGGCGCGCGCGTCAGCGATCGCGATCGAGGTGCAGAAAAAAAAGCGGAAGACGCACCGGAGTCGGGGTCCTCGGGCGGCTCGTACGTCTCTTCTTCGTCGAGTAGGTACGGATGCGCCGCGAGCGATGGAAGACACGACGCGCAGCGGCACCAGCGCTCTCGCCAGCCTTCGGTCAGGAAGACGTCGCCCGTTCCGAGCGATGCGTCCGGTTCTGGCTCTTGAGCCGCGGTGGTCGAGGAGTCGGTGTGACCGGTTGCGCCGGGGCGCAGACGCTCGAAGATCCGCTGCGCGGCGGGGTTGGGAGGAGGCGCGAGGCAGGTGCTAGACGCGTTTCGGGTAGGGCACGCCTCGTCGGCGGACTGGGTCGAGAACGCGGCGGTGTCCTCGTCCTCGGAATGGCGCAGCCGTTTCACCTCCGGCTCGTCTTCGTGACATAACCCATCGCCGTCGGCCGGTCGCGTCCTCTTCCCCGCGCCCGGCGCGTCCACCACGTCGACCTCGCCCTCCGCCTCTAGATCTTCTGCCGCGAGAGGCGGCACGACCTTCCACGCTTCCCCCAGCGCGTCGCGCAGGACGACCATCGCGCCCGGCGTGCCTGCGTACCGCCGCAGCGTCGGTACCCCGCTGACGCACGCGCCGCACGCGAACGCGTCGTAGGACGTGCCCGGTATGCGGGCGGGCGGGAGGTCGGACGAGGACGCGTCCGACGCGCCGTCGTCGTGCCCTCCCTCTTCTGCGGGTGCCGTGACGTCGTCCGATTGCGGCGCGGGCGTCGGTTCGCGCGATGGAGGACGCTCGCGGAGGTTGCAGCACGACTCGTGGAACCAGTCCTGGAGAGTGGCGCCGTCGCAATGTTGAGCGCGAGAAGGCAGGGACGGACGGGGGGTTGTATGTAAAAAAAAAAAGGTCTTACCTCGCAGACGACGCATTGTATCATCGTCTCCCGCTCGCGCTCGGGGTCGTAGCGCCTCCCGCACCGGCAAAACGCGCCATCAAAGTTGCGGTTGTACGCGTTCTCGGTGTTCTCCGGTTCGGCCTCCTTGTGCAGCGTGCAGGGGTGCGCGAGAGCGGATGTGGGGCAGTCGCACCTGAAGCGACGCTTCGGGAAGAGTTCGATCTGCTCGTGCTCGCCGTGGCACGCGACGGCGCACGGGGCGCAGAGCCCGCGCGGGGACGCGCAGGTGAGGCAGAGGTGCACGGCCTGGCGGACGGGGCCGAGGTGGTAGGTACATTGCGTGAATTGGTATGGAACGGCTTCGGACGCGGCAGAGACGAGGGCGGTCTGCGAGCGGAGGATGTCGAGGAGCGAAGACGAGGAGGCCATGGTGCACTCGAGCTCAAGTGTGGGGAATAGGCGCCGACGCATATCACGCTCGGGAATGGGCGCCTAACCTTGTCCACTCACCTCGGCCTGGAATTCACTCATAGCCTACATCTGGTCTGCAAGCTGCAAGTCGCTTGAGACGCTGCTGGAAACACAGAACATGAATTCATGACCGTACTCGCACACTCGGCCTCGCCGACTGCGGTCCTAGCCCCGACGCTCGCGCGCCTTTAACAGCCTCCCACTGCGCCTCGCAATCTTCTTTACGCCATCGACCAACCCTTGCTCGTCTTCTAGCGCATAAACCACCTCGGAATTGGCTGCGCTGCCTTCCATGTTCCCATGCTGGCAGCCTTCGCCCACGCCTGATATCCGCAGCCTCCGCCCCGGAGAACTCATGGGAACGTCCACGTCCATCCGTAATGCGCGTGGGTTCGCCGGCCAGTAGACGCCCTCACATTTCTATCCACGCCGTGCACTCGTTTATACTCGCCCGCCTCGGCTGGCCTTCCGAGAACGTCCCCCCGGCTGCGCGCGCGAAAAATGAATCAGACAGTCGCGCGGGAGCAGCGTTCAAATACGCCAGCCCGCTCTCCTGCGTCACCGTGCTCACGACCCGCACGACCCTGCCATCCGCTAGCTGCACCACCCTCTACCCCCGTACTATAGAGGTCCATGTCGTCGTTCAAGCTCCCCTTCACGCCGATCGAGTCTCGCGCGCGCACGCACGCCCTGCTCTCCTCGATCGGCTTCCTCATCCTCCTCCCGCTCGGCGTCCTCCTCGCCCGCTACGCCCGCACCTTCACCTCCCGCTGGTGGTGGGCACACGGCCTCATCCAATTCGTCGTCTCCGGGCCCGTCATCCTCGCCGGCTGGGCGTACGGCTACCAGACCACCCAGCGTCTGTTCACCGGCGGCAACTGGGTCGACACTCACAAGGTATCTCCCTTTTTTTTTTCTCCCACCCTCACCCCCCTTCGCACTCCCGAGTATGCTAACGAGGTCGTGCCCGTGACAGAAAATCGGCCTCGCCCTCCTCGTCCTCTACCTCTTCCAGGTCTTCTTCGGCCTCTTCGTCCACTTCCTCAAGTTCCCCCGCTTCGCGCGCACCCCGCTCCACCGCCCGCCGCAGAACTACCTCCACGCCATCCTCGGCCTCGCCATCCTCGCCCTCGCGGCGTACCAGGTCCACTACGGGCTCTACACCGAGTGGCCGCGCTCCACCGGCGGGCTCCACGCCGTCACGCAGGAGGCCAAGCACGCCTGGCTCGCGCTCATCATCGTGCGTCTCCATCCTCCTCCCCCTCACCTACGCGTGCCTGACGATCAGTTTCTCGCCACCTAGGTCTTCTGGGCTTTGTACGCGCTCGGCTTGCTCCTCCTCCGCAGGCAGTGGAAGCAGGAATCGGCGTTTGCCGCGGGCGCGGTCACGAAGGACCAGGAGAGCAAGACCGGGTTGCACGATGCCAGCGGTACCGAGGCGAGCGCAGCTGCGCAGTAATCGAGAGCATTGGGGATGATCAGGTTCGCCCCGCAACGGACAGCCGTACTCGATCGCCGGGCTGCTGTAGATGGCGCTGAGCTTCGATCAAGGGCCCTACATGACTTGATTAGCTATCTTGCATAGGACCCTCGACGTCTTTCGCTATCATGTTCACAGATGAGGAGAGCGAATAGAAGCGCATGTGGGGCATATATTGAATCGATACAGACGGAGAACATATGTGGATGCAAATCAACAACTACAAATGGGAGAGATCCAGAGCGTGAGAGCAAGAGACACGGTTATAGGCGCGGAATCGGTGAGTATAAAATGAAATAGGTATATATGCACGGTCTTCAGGCCGAGCGCCTCTTTAGGCTCGCAGAGCCGGACGCCGTCGCCGTCTTCGTCGCTCATCCGTAGTAGACCCTACGGAACCGACAGCATCCCATCAGTCTGGAACCAAAGGGGGAGAAGAAGGAAGGCCCAACGTACCCCTGCGCCGTCGTGCTGATCGGCTTGAAGTCGGCCCGGGCCTCGCGCACGAACTTGCGGAGCACGTCCTCCCAGTCCGCGCGCGTGTCCCAGCTCACGCGCGCGGGCGCGTCCGTCTCGACGGGCATCACCTGGCTCAGCCCTTCGCACTGCACGAGCACGAGCAGCGCGCCGAGCCCGCCCGCGCGACGGGAGCGCTCGTCGCGGCGCGCCGTGTCCTCCGCCACCACCGGGTCGCGCGCCAGGATCGCCGCGCGGGGTACGAGCGCGGTATGCGCCACCGTGAACCTGTGTGCCCCCTTCTCAGTACCGTTCAGGATCTTCGCCCGATCACGCGAACCAGGGGGGGGAGGGAAAAGGCGAAGAACGCACCTGCGGAGCGGGTCGGCGGCGGTCGGATCGTGCGCGAGCTCGACGACGAGCGCGTATTGACGGGCGTTGGCGGGCACGCGCTTGACCTGCAGCGCCTGGAAGCCGGCCCAGGAGAGCAACATCTGGTGCGCGGACGTGAACCGGCGGAGAGACTTCGCGAGGTCGACGCTGCCGCCGTCCGGGAGCGGGTGCTGCTTGGACGCAGAGACGGCGCTCTGGGTGTGCTGGCAGACCGCGCGGTGGGTCGGCCAGTTGGCCTTCTGGCAATTAGACGACTGTGGAAACGGAGCGAGCGTGTGAGAGGTGAGTGGTGTGAAGAGATTTGTGCATGGACGCACGCAGTATTGGGCGGCCATGCACCCGCCGCAGAGGCGGAAGCGCTGGCCCGCCGGGTTCTCGACGGCTTGGCACTGGTCGCAGAGGCGGTAGCCGCGTTGAGGCATCGCGCACGGCGCGGGGCTGAAGTAGTTGGCAGCAGCGGGGGTAGAGTACACGGCGGCCATTATAACGCTGATATCGAAGGATTATGCGGGTGGATCCGAGTAGGAGTAGGGTGGGGGTATGTATAGGTGGGGTATGGCGCAGAGATAAGCTAGCTCTTCGATGGGTCGCAATACAAATGGGGGAGGATAGCACGCCACCGAACGGGCGATGCTAGGAGGCGAAGTAGTAGGAGTGGTAGGAGTAGGAGTAGTAGCCTGTCGGACGTTGCGGTGTTGGTAGCCCATCGCGAAATCGTTGCATGTTATATATCCCCCTCGTCGGACCGTCGAAGATTCCAGGAACACCCCGGGCGTCGCGATCGACTCCACCCGGAAGGAAAGGGTGATACAAAAACGCTCGCGCGTCGGCACAAAAGCCATCTTTGTGTGGAGGAAGGAAGGCCCGGATGTAGCTGCGCGGAAGCGCGCCACGGGGCACGTTGCGTCCCGGTCGATACAATTAGCGTTGAGTACGGATGAGTAGGAGACAACAAGAGCTGTGAGAGAGCTGCAGAGGGACGCTGCTTGATCTGAGCGCTAGACAAAAGGACTCGGTCACGTGCGCCATATAGGCGTGCAATGCTTGGATCGCGAGCGGTGTTAGTGTGTTCAACGTCTTTGGTTAAAACAAGAAGGGGCGATGTTGGAGACCCGTAGACCCTAGATATCTAGACGCCCGCGTGTCGACAATTTGCTGTTCGTGTATGCGAAAGCGGATCCATAAGCTTCGGGGGCTGCTCCTCGTTCCACACCTCGAGGCAACGATAACGCAACATGTGCAGCTTCCAGATTGACTCGTACCCCCGATGTATGCGCAGTGACCTTGACCCCGGCGGTCCAAGAACGAGCCAGCACCCGATGCGTATAGAGGTCCCGGCACATGAGCTGAGCCGAACGCCTCGCGGTCAGACGAGAAGGACGCAGCGGGGCGAGAGGACCCGGAGCTTGACCTCGTGGGTGGCAGTCTTTCACTTGTCAGGTTTCGTTTCATGTAGATCCAGTGCCTTGGAGTTTCGTTGTCGTGCTTATGCTGGTAACGTCCTATTATGGCGCCATCCATTGACCACTTTTCGAGGCTTTCTCATCGGAGGAGACGGAGAAAAGGAGCTGTGGTGGGCATCGAGGCGAACCTTTCGACGAGAGCACGCCGACCTAACGCCCGTCTTCACAAAGGAGAAAGGAACTCTGGATTCTGGAGGAGAACGATGTCGGTGGTAAACGCGACCCACGTGTGAATATCGTGACTCCACATTACGCGAATTTGATCGCGCAACGAGCATCGGTATGAGAAACTCGTCCGTCAGGCCGCGCAAAATACGCGTTTTTCTCCTCATAGCCTGAGCTATAGCGGCTCATAACAAACCCTCTATCGAGTTGCAAGCGATGTCCGGCCCAGATACAGGCGAAGAAAGCGGCACTCGACGTTCCGCTCGCATTCGAGACCAGCCCACGGCCGACGCGCCTGCTAAAGCAACTGGCAGACACAAATCTCAGCCACGAAAGCGGGTTGCGGAGGGTGGCGAGAGTGCCCCCGAGAAGACGACAAAGAAGGTACGCCCTCATATGTGCGCACCGTAACTTCCCCTTCAACATCGTTCAACTTTCTTTGCTTTTGTGAGGCGAAAACCGAGTCGGACACCCCAGCAAAGGCTGCTGAGGAAGAGGCCGCCGCTGAGGTTGCGCCAGAAGAACCTACGGACGTGCCCTCCGTCGACGTCGGTGACCTTCTCCCGTCATTGACGGTGCAGAACGAGAAGGGCGAAGATGTCGACGTTTCGACGCTCGCATCGGAGAAAGGTGTTGTCTTGTTCCTGGTGCCCAAAGCCGATACGCGTACGTCTCCTCTCTCTTTAGATTACCCCCGTTTCACCATTGTGTGACATATGCTCTGTTTCATGGTGTCAATGCCGTCCCTAATATCGTTTTCTCCGCAGCCGGGTGCACACAACAAGCCTGCGGCTTCCGCGACGTCTACCCGGACTTCACCGCGCTCGGCTTCGACGTCTATTGCCTCAGCGCGGACTCGCCCTCCGCCCAAACCAAATGGCAAACCAAAGTGCGTTTCGCCCCCCTCCCCCGACAGCATATACTCAACCTGAGGCCGTGCTCCCGTAGAAATCCCTCCCCTACCCGCTCCTGTCAGATCCGAAACGTCAGCTGATCGGCGCGCTGGGTGCCGCGAACGGGAACAAGACCAAGCGGAGCCATTTTGTATTCGAGAAAGGCGGGAAGCTGCTCGACAAGAAGATTCCCGTTAAGCCCGTTGATAGGTGTGTTGCCCTCCACGATTGACATGTGTCGCGGACACTCACCGAGCAATCTTCGTCTACCAGCCCTAAGCTAGCGCTAGAGTTTATCAAGGGTCTGCAGGCAACCGCCGTGTGACGTCCGATGGACGTCCACGGCCACGAGTTGAAAGACCTCCTTCCGTATATGCTGATTCCACTTGCTATCTGTGCATTCCCATCATTGCTGTACTCGTCATGTATAAGTATCGTTCCATTGATCGAAGTCGCGTTAAGGGTGTGGACGGACAGCTTAAGTAAACTCACTCCGCTGTGACTACATGGATTTGACCCATATGCTCGTATTGCATACCTCTACGCTATTCGCTATAACAGGGTACACTATACTAAGAACGCCATACAGATCACGATACGCTATATCACATAGGAGACAACGACGACAATAGAATACGGCACCATCCGCCAATGCCAAAGGTGCAAATAAAGAGGAACTTCATGTTCGACAACAGGTGCCAACGCGAAGGGTGGGGAATAGATAGTAGTGTTATCAGAAAGCGCGCGGAGCCGACTAGAAAGACGATAGACAGCAGAGCAAAGAGGAGGGAGATGTGGACGGTAAGACAAGCGTGGCGTCCGTCAACTTGGGATATAACAGCTGCGGCAGATTCACCAATCGAGAGAAGGCATCCCGGAGAGTTTGTACTGCTCTGCCACGTGTTTGCTATGGGGTGCGCTAGCGAGACGACCTATGCGTTGCGGTCAGAGGGTTCATCTTGTGAGGAGGCAGTCCGAGGTCTGCAAGAACGCGAGTTCACCTTCTTCGGTGGAGGAAACTGTGATGACGGTCTTGATAATCCTATGCCTCCTCAGCAGCGGGCTCCTCTTCTTCTTGCGGAGCAGCCTTCTCGGCGTCGGCCTCAGCTTCGGGCTCCTCCGCGATGGTCTCCTTCGTCAACGACGCATCGCCGTTGGCGGTCGCTGCTGATGCCTCGGCCTTGATTAAAGGGCCCGTTAGTTCTTTCGCGCTTTGCATATCGATCCGGATCAGCTCACCTTCGAGGCCGGCTTCTTGCTGCCTGCCCTGCTGGCAGGTTTCTTGCTTCCCGCGCGAGACGCGGGCTTGGTGGACGCCGTACTGGCGGGCTTGTTAGACGCTTTAGACGCTGGCTTGGCGGCTTTCGAGGCGGGCTTGCTGCCAGCCTTCGATGCCGGCTTGGTCGCCGCCTTTGACGCGGGTTTAGTCTGCCAGAGGACGTGTCAGCGTACCACACGACCACAACTCGACGCATAAAAAGACCGAAACCAGCGATATTATGTACCGAAAAACGGATAGACGACGAGCCGGGGAAAGGGGCATCATGTGAAGGAGAATCAGGACTGACTTTCTTTGCGGCGGGCTCGTCACCTGCGGCATCCGCCTCGTTGGCGGTGCGCTTCTTGCCGCGAGTAGACTTGGGCTTATCCTCTCCTTCTGGGGAGGAAGGATAAATGCGCGTGAAAAGGTCGGACGACGCAGGAGACACGTACCAGCAGCCTCGGTCTTCTTTGCGCGGGGTTTGGCGGCCTTTTTCGCCGGTGCAGGCTCAGCTTTGGGCTGCTCCTTGATACGAGAGCTGCGGCGGGGCTCGGCGGCACCCTCGGCGCCTTCCTTGGGCTGAGCGGCTTTGCGGGGCATAACTACCTTTCAACGGGGACAAAAGCGATGTGCGAAAGATAAACGGGCGTCGTTATCTGACGACGACGAGCAGAACACGAGCGCAAAAATTGAGCGGTAGAGCGGGAAAAGCGGGCGCAGGCGGGACAGCGCAACAGGGGGGAGACTCTGTGAAGGGGGAGCGCGCAGGGTCAAGGAGAGTCGAACGGGGACTCGCGCGCCCTCGGGCTTTGAGCATTTGTGGGTTCCCGCATTAGCAGACACGTGATCTTGGGTGTCAGAGATCAACATGCGCAAGTTCCCACGTGGCGGCAATCCCCGATCGAGCTCAAGGATGCTTCGAAGATCCATTGAGGATGCTTTTGGAATGCGTCAACCGATAAATATCGTAATCTTCATCAAAGGCCAAGCTTGGGGCTCCGGGGTGGGAGCACGCACTAAGCAGGTTACAATAGTTCGTCAAAAGACCCGACTGGGTTCTTGGACATACAATGACCGATCAAGTCACTGAATAGACATTTCCAGGATTTTCCTGGTTTCTTTACGAGGTCATCTCACGATTGATCGGAGGCTTCGGACACGAAGACTATACTGTCAAGCCTTAGGCACTATCGAGCAAAATACAATTGTCGCCTCATGTTGGAATATGAGAATTCAGTGCGCGTTCAGTGCTCACTATTATCTGATCGCTGTACACGTATATCTACTCGCGCTCGCATCCGATGTACCTGACGCGCTTGCCCAGCAATCTCACCCCTCGCATTGCAGACGGGTCAAGCGCGCTCCGCGCCCGACATGTCACCCGACATTTAACACCTCATACTATGCAGGGCGAAGACATCAGTGCTCTGAAGCCTTTAGAGTTGCAACCCACACGTCCATAGTGCGTATCCGAGTTCCCTCTGGGAGGGTTTTCTTACTCGCCTCCACCGCATCTCTCAAAGCCAATACAACCGACCTCTCCTTCTCGTCTTCGACATGAGCCTTGATATCCTCCAGGAAGCTTTCGCTCAAAACCGCGCCGACCTCCCATCGTCCGTCATACATGCCCTCAGGTGTTTCCACCACAGTTTCCTCCACGACCTCCAGCCCTGCCTGCCCTATGATCTCCTTGACAGCCTTCGGGCTCAGGACGGTTCGGACGTTTGACGTCGACTGCATCTTGCGGCACTCGAGCGCCGCCTGCGTGAGCACCGCGAGCACGTTGGGGAACGCGGCAGGATTGCTCGCGGAAAGTGCAAACTCTGATATGCAGATACGCTTGGCTCTTCCGGAGAGAGCTCTGAACGTTGTGCGAACGGCTTCGGGAGAGGAGAAGTACCAGGTGCAGGCGGCGAGGACAGCGACGTCCCAAGTCTCTTCTGTTTTGCCGAGAAAGGCCACCGGGTCGTCTTGCACAAATGTGATAATAGGGCCAAGAGGTCCTGCGCTGATGAAACTCTGAGCTTGGCCAAGCGTGAACGGACTGCCTAAAGTACAACATACGCTGCTTCAGCATGTGAGAAATTGTCATGTAAATTGTATCGTACCGTAATCAAGCGGGGCGGGATCAACGGCAGTTACATGGCCAGATGTACCGACAGCAGCAGCAAGCACGGTCGTGCAGTCACCCTGCCCACATCCAAGTTCGAGCACGCGTTCGCCCGGCTTGATGTCCCATTGCCGAACGAGATTGACACGGTGCTCGGTCTGTCCGAGCTGGATCTTGAGCCCTGATCCAGCAGTGACCTGCGAAAGAGGGGCTATTTCCGCGGCGTCCAGAGGTATAGACGACATTCTTGTGAGGGTGTGCGGAGCGCCCGCGGAGGTCTTATATGTAGCGGTGCCATGAGCGACTCATGGGCGAGGGTTGATGTGACTCAACAATCGAGATTGCGATCGTGACTCTTCAAGCTTTGGCCTTCAGGGTGGGAGCAATGAGAGCGACGCACGGACAGACATCATGCCCGACTTTGGTAGAGGTTATCTGCAACAACCCAAGGAGGCTTGAGGTCGACTTTGACCAACGCCGAACGCGGCCGGACGGATTCTTGCGCTGCACCCGCAGTCTTCGAGCTCCAAAGGAGGTCTTCAGAGACCATGCCCCGTTCCGTCAAAGTCAAATGGGGCGTGTCTGTCCATGCATTGCAGATAAATCGATAACCTCTGTCACGGTCGGTCTCGGAGTCTCCCTCTCTGGCAAAGAATATTGGCACCGCCACTGAGTTATTCATAATGTACCCCCAGCAACCTTTCGTCATCGTGCAAGCTGAGATGTGTCGCAAATCCAACCGGACATCAAAGACCACTTGTTCGTCTCCTTCGCCTCAACTCGAGGTCAACACACGCAACAATGTCATCCATCCCCAAAGTCGGCTCGTGAGGTGCACGGGTTGATGAAGAGGTGCACGCATTCCTGACCAGCGGCGCGCCCGACCTTCACCTCGGCGGCTGCGGCGACTTCTACGCAGAGCGGAGCCACCACACCAAGATCTTCTGTTTTCACGCACTCGACGCGTCAAAGCGCGCGCCGATCGGCGAAGTCGAGTTCACCGCGATCCGTGGGCCGCACGGGACGATCCCCGTTCGCGTGTTCTACCCGCGCAGCGGCGAGGAGCGAAGGAAGGCGGGGGACGCGGGCGCGCTTGTCTACTTCCACGGCGGGGGATACACAGTGGGCACCGTTGACGAGTTCGAAAACGGGTGCCGACTTCTGGCGGAGCGCGCGGGCGTGCAGGTGTACGCGGTGGAGTACCGCCTCGCGCCCGGCGCCCGAGTGGCGTTTCCCGACACAGCTGGACGAGTACGCGTGCGTCGTTGAATGGCTCCAGGGAGAAGGTGGCGAGACGAGGGGCGTGAGCCCGGACAGGGTGTGCGGAGGAGGAGACAGCGCCGGAGGGAACATGACGGCAGCATTGAGCTTGAGGTTGCGAGACGAGGGTAAGAAACCACTCAAGGCTCAGATCCTGCTCTATCCGGAAGCTCGGCTGCCCTTCGATACTCCAGCAGCGGCTGAGAACAACACGGGTCTATACCTCGAATGTGAGCCAGCGGCTCTTGCACGGTCTGGTCAAATCCATCTCACCTCTAAGCCCCGCAGGTAACGGCATATTCTCGTTTGCGGACCACTATCTCCCTCGCGGCGTTGCGCCCTCCAACCCTTATGTCTCGCCCGGTATGCAACCCATCTCTTCGCTGGAGTCCGTGCCTCCTGCGGCGGTGTTCACCTGCGGCTACGACCCCCTGCGCGACGTCGGCGTCGAGTACGCCTCCAAACTCCAGGAAGCAGGGAATGCCGTCTCCTGGCATCACTTCGAGGCTCTGACGCATGTGTTCTTGCAGCTTGCCCCGTGGAGCAAACAGGCTATGAGGGCGTCGGAGACTGTAGGCGACGAGCTAAAGAGACTAGCATATATGCATGAGTAGACAGAACTTCGTATCATGTATGACGTATACATACATCCAGCGTTTCTCGACGATCACACGTATCTTGCAAGCAATTTTCTTGTACATCCAAATCCTAAGTAATCGCTGTCGTACGGTGCATCGAAGCATAGGAGCACCACAGAAACTTAAAGGCCACAGAGGAGCTGTCTCAAGGGTAGAAAAGAAAAGAAAAGAGGCGAATTTCTCACGCTTACTTATGGCGTCCTCCTATCATTGCAGACGAACAGATCAACCAAGCGTGGTGAGTAATCCCAGCAAGCGCTATCCATTTTGGTGTCATCCATTCCATTACTAATACATAAATTCGAGTCGTGATTATGGAGGCATTTTGTGAGCACTGCCCCCACAGTTGTCTATCGGGGCGTCCCAGGGTTGCCCCTATTTAGAGACATTGCGAGTAGTCTGATAATCACGTAAGTTTGGAAGACAGCTTGATTTATCGCGAAGGAACTCACAGGGGTTGAGGACGGTGCAGGTCGAGCCAGACGCGCAGGTCGTCGCGCCGGCGTAACCGGTGCCGCCGCATTGTCCGTACTTGGCCACCGAGCCGGACGAGCCGGTAGAACCAGAGCCGGAAGCGGTCGAGGTGCTGGATCCGCTAGAGCCAGACGATCCGCTGCCGGAGGACTCTGAGGAACGAAAGCGCATGTTAGCGAGTAGAAGCGACGGGGAGAGGAGGGAAACGTACGGCCAGCCTTGAACGTCGTCCCGATGTCGCCGACCTTGATGTTCGAGTAAGTCACCGAGATCGACCCGCCGTTCGCTTCAACGTCCGCGGGGACACCGGACGTCGTCGCGCAAGTGCCGCGCTTGACACCGGGCGCAGACGCGTCCTTGTTCGTCGGGTAGTCCGAGTCCAGCCAGAGCATGTTCACCGCGTAGTCGTCCCAAATCGACAGAACCAAAACCATACCCTTCGCGAACGCCGCGCCCAGCTGCTTCAACCCGCCGAGCGACTGGAACGTGTTCGTGTCCCCGAACGCCGTCTTCTGTGCAGCGCACCAGCTGTCCGTGATCGAGTTGCCGCTCACGCCCGCGATCGTCGACTGAGAGTTGGGAATCACCACCCCGTTCTGCACGTAGAACCGCCGGATCTCCGAAAGCGACCCCGTCGTGGTGTTGTCCGACGTCAGGAACTGGGTCACCACCGTGATCGGCTTGGTCGTGTCGACCGTCATGCCCGGGCCGTAGAACGTGGTGTTGCCCATCCGGTACGAGTTGAAGTCGCATCCGGCCTGGTCGCACGTCGAGGTGCAGGTCGAACCCGTGCAGGCGGTGATGCCCGTGCCCGTGCAGGGATGGGGCGTGACCGCCTCGGAGATGGAGTTGGCCTCCCAGATGTCCATCTCGGAGCAGCAGGCGCCGATGGACCCCGTGCCCGAGTTGGCGGAGGTACCGTTCCATCCGATGATGTTGGCCTGTGAGCAAGAGCGTGTTAGGCATGAACGGCAAGCAAGGATGTACATCGTTCTCACCTGGCCCTGGATAAACTTGAGGTCGTGAGGGCACTGAGAGTCGCAGTAGCCGGTGCCGTACTTGGCGCCGGCGGCGTTGGTCGAGGACGCATCGCCGTTCGCGCTCATGGCCGAAAAGTACACGGCGCCGTTGAGACCGCAGGGGAGCTTGGAGACGTCGACGTCCATGGTGAACTCCTTGTTGAGGAGGTTGAAGGTCTCGTAGGTGCTGTCGTCCTTCATGAGGTAGACGCGGGAACCGACGTTGCTGCCGGTCTTGAAGGCGAGGGTGAGGGCAGAGCCGGAGGAGGTGATACCGTAGGTGCCGGAGTAGTCGGCGCCGTCGAGAGCACAGTTCTTCGCGCAGGTGGCCGGGTCCGGGCAGAGGGTGGCATCCCACTGGTTTCCTACGAAGAAGCGTGAGGACACTGAGTGAGAGCGGGGATGAGGGGAGGGTGGACATACCGGTGTAGCAGTTGGTGTAGCCGCCGACGTTGTGGACCCAGCGCCAGTTGGAGTCGAGGGTGACGCTACCGGCGACGTTGGTGCAGCCGGACGAGGTGCAGGTCTGGTAGGAAAGGGCCGGGTGGGTCTCCGCCGCTGAGGTACCGACCTGCTGGGCAGACGCGGTGGCGAGGAATACGAAGGAGACGAGGGCTGCCGTGCGGAACATTGTGGTTGAGCCGGGTGTTGGTGGTGACCGATGGAGGAAAACTTACGTCGAGCTTTGCGGGGTATATATACCGTCTCCCCGATGGAGGAGCAAAACATCGCCCAGGAGCGCAACGGGGAAATAGCCCGGCTGATTTGCTGCACCCCGAACACTGGACCCAAACAAAACGCAGCGAACCTCCGCCATCGAGAAGGACGAACGTCGGAGGGAGACCTGACCGCTATGCAAGAACCGTCCTCGGCGTATCCAAGCGAACGATGATCAGCTCGTCGGTCTCGCGGACGAACGGCGCAGGATGTCCTCGATCACTTCCCCGGGTCACTGAACATGTTCCGAGGTTTAAGCTCGGGGCTGCTAACAACAAGGCCCGTTGTTGAGAGCATCATGCTGTCGTCCTGCTTCGTTCTTCGGCGAATTGAGAACCGTTGGCTTCGTGACCCTCCCCCCGGTGTAACGATCTTGCCGCCGTCCTTTGTATTACACGCGCGTCCTCGTTCAAGCGTCAAGCGTCGCTGAATATAGAACGATGTGCTTGGCAGTCATCGTCCCGTCCGAGAAAATAACGGAGCCTCGCAAAAAGGTGCGACAGGGTGATGGACGGAGCCAAGTCCATTGGTGGCTATGTCAGAGGCTAGTCCCGTGGGCAGCGTTATCTCGCTTGATATTTCGATTCCTCAGCTATGAACCGAATACACGCATGTCGGAGGCGCTACGCCGCGGTGGTGCTCCAGGGAGTATCAGGGCTATCCTGTGCATCATCGCGGACACACTTCATTAAGGCGGGGTCAAAGTATATTGTCCTAGCAATCATACAGACCGTCCCAGCCGCACAGGTGCATATCATCTCCCGAGAATCTCTCAGCTATTCAAAAAGAGATCGTCTCAACCGTCGACAAGTCTCCGGCATCCTTCCCGATGGGTGCGACGTAAGGGGGCGTGACCGGCGGACGCTGCGAGCCAGGAGCGTAAACGCTGACGAGTTGCTGCTCCGTCGGCTGGGGGATCGTGCCCGATGAAAGGAAAGCAATCGCGTCTTGGCTAGCGGGTTGCCCAGCAACTGCGCATCTGACCGTGAGCAATTATCCTGGCCGAAGGTAGCAGAATACTGTACGTACGCATCGTCGTACCATGATCGTCTCCGTGACGGACCACCAGAGTCGATTGCGGGGATTGATCCTGCCATTGGAGAGTCGCGAGCTCCGTCGGTGTGCTAAGATTTCCGAACGATCAGTGCCATGAGTGATCCACCGTACAGGCTTCGCTTACTTGAGATCGTAGTCTGCGGTAACGAATAACATGGGGGACTGAACGTGCAAGGTCTGCTTCGGCCTGGCGGAGAACGGCCAAGCGGTGCACATGAGCTGAAGAAGACTTTCGTGAGCATGCTATGTTAGCTGCGAGCCATATAGTACTCACCCGTAGCTGCCAGAACTGCGAGTATTGGAAACCGAGCGTGTCGACCTGATGTTATGATTAACGATGGCAAATTGGGCCGCAGAGGACGTGACGCTTACCGCAGATGCGCTCTGATTCAACTTCACGAGGCCGCCCAGAGTATTGTCGTCGCCAGCTGCGGATGCGATCCATCTGGTGAGTGATCCAACCAACCATGGTCGGTTGAGATATCCTCACCCTCGTCCGCGCAGATGATCGGTAACACGTTCACAATCTCCAGCATGATCACCGGATCAGGTACCAGAAGCGTCGCGTTGCCGTTCAATGCTTGCGAGAGCGCCAGGTTGAACTTGGGGAAGTCCGGAGAAGAGTTGACCGTGTAGTACAACGCGAACTTGGCCAGCGTCGCGGTGACGTTGAGATCGCTGAAGGAACCGTTCTCGGCCATCTGGATGACCTTGGTGAATGCCTATGGAGTTTGCGCTCAGCTTCGGCGGAGTAACATCATGATGGTTGCACTCCATCAACTACATACCTCGGGGACGCTGCCGTTGCCCTGATCCTTGAAAGGGCAAGACGGATCGGATTGGCAGAAATCG